TACAGCCAGGAGCTGAAGCTTAGGTCTGGGTGACACTGATCTCTGACCTCTACCTGTTTCTATATCCATCTTCCCCACATGTTGAAAAATATCTGTAACTGGGCATCTTCACCTCCCCCTCCCCAGGAGGACGAGGGAAGGGTCTCCAGGCAGAAAACCTCCCGCTCCCAGAGAGTAGATGGTAGTATCTGGGCCCTGCTGCCACCACCATCAAGAGCTACCTGGCAGCAAGCAGGGTGCCCTCCGCAGGGCTGCACCCAACTGCAGCTGTCCCTCTTGCGATGGTGAGGAATGGCCACCAAGCTAAGGGAGGGGGCAGGAAGGCTAATTTTACCTGGATTGAATTACACCATTAAAAGAGGCCATTATCAACTGCCTCGTGCTGGACAGGATGTCCTTTCACTGTGCTAACTGTCATTTATCTATCTGTCTGGCCTCCGCACAGGGCTGTCCTGACAGCCAGGCCATGGATCTGAGCAGGACTCATCATCTGGTTTTGTGCTCAGGAAGCAGCCTTGGGAGACTAGCCATAGCTGGACAGTCCCTGTGTTCCCCCGGGAGACTGGAGCACTGATGAACCCACTTTGGGCGGCAGTGTGGGCGTGAGCCCCTTCCCAAGGGTGCTAATGCTCTGGCTCCTCCCCTCTGCCCCTTCAACCCCATACATTCCCTTGTTTTCCATCCCCAGCCTTGTGACTGGGCAGGGACTGCTTATTTTCAACAAATGGACACCTGGATGATCCGTAGGGTACAGCTGTGGAAGGACTGTGTCCTTCTGAAAGAAAATCCTGAGGCACGTTCAAATAAAAGGTGGTGATGGATTTGAAAGAAATCTTGAGATTAAAAACCAATAGTGAGGGCTGGGGTTGTGGCTCAGTGGTCGAGCGCTTGCCTAGCATGTATGAGGTACTGGGTTCGATTCTCAGCACCGCATATGAATAAAATAAAGCTCCATCAATGTCTTAAGCCAAAAACCAATGGAGAGGCTATAATCCCAGCAGTTTGGGAGGCGGAGGCAGGAGGGCTGAGGCAGGAGGACCATGAGTTCAAAACCAGCCTCAGCAACTTAGTAAGGCCCTGAGCAACTTGGTAAGACCCTTTTTCTAAATAAAACAGAAAAAAGGACAGGAGATGTGGCTCAGTGGTTAAGTGCCCCTGGGATCAATCCCTGGTACCCAAAAGAACAAACAAAAACACAATAGGAAGGCTGGGCATGGTGGCACACACCTGTAATCCTAGTGACTTGGAGGACTAAGGTAGAAGGGTCACAAGTTTGAGGCCAGCCTCTAAAACTTAGCATGACCCTATCTCAAAATAAAAAATAAAAAGGGCTAGGGATGTGGCTCAGTGATTAAGCACCCTGGCTTCAATCCTCAGTACCCCCGCCCCCCCAAGCAGTGAAAGGCACATCTTCCTCATAGCAACCAGAGGGACAGCTGGGTCACGGGGCCTGTGCACAAACAGCCCTTCATTCATTTCTAGCCTTCACCATTATAAGGCTCTGTAGTGTGCCCCTCCCCCAAAGATACCCAGAGGCATCTCTTCTGTGGGGAAGTCCTACATGAGGACAACCCTAGAAGGCATCAGAGAAGAAAAGCCTGGCGTGGAGTCATCGGCACAGGGAAGGCCTCTAGTGTGGTCAGGAGCAAGAATGGGCAGGCCACAGGGAGAGAGTGCTTGGTGATTGCTCCTGCGGCCCATCTCCCTGAGGGTTGCTGAACCCTGCTAAGGAGGTGCTGAGCCTTGCTGGTGTCTCCTGAATGTTCTGGAGGAGCTGTCCCCCAAACCCATGGCACCATCCAGGGCCTTCCCAAGCGCTGTGGCAGCCAGCCACCCAAGGAGTAACTGAGCATCTTCACCTCCCCCTCCCCAGGAGGACGAGGGAAGGGTCTCCAGGCAGAAAACCTCCCGCTCCCAGTGGCTTAGCAGGTGGACCTCAGCCTGCTCTTACAAGGCTCAAGCTGGGAACTTTCTCATGGTCATCAGCCAATCCTCCAGGACAGCTTGGAATCCTCCTGGGGGAAATGGTGTCAACGGCTGGGTTAAGGTCTGGGGTCTGTGAAAAGGAGGCAGGGGGTCAAAACAGCATGTGTGGGCATGAGACCACACAGCTCTGAGCTCTGCCCTAGGACAGCACGGCTCCCTGGGCCTGAAGAAGCTGGAGGCCTGCGTGCTGGGGTTTGTGGAGCAGTGCCGAGATGATGTGCTTAAATGGCAAGAGTTCAGAGCCAGGTAGGTATGGTGGCACATGTCTGAAATTCCAGCAGCTCATGAGGCTGAGGCAGGAGGATCAAGAGTTCAAAGCCAGCCTCAGTAATTTAGTAAAGCCCTAAGTAAGAGAGCCTATCTCTAAATAAAATATAAAAAAGGGCTGGGGATGTGGCTCAGTGGTTAAGTGCCCCTGAGTTCAATCCCTGGTACCAAAAAAAGGGCCACAATTCTAACGCCCACCTGCCCCCTGCGGCCTCTGGAGACAGCCGAGTTGCTCTGCAGTGTGAAGGGCAGGAAGCAGTCACACCTTGGCAGAACCAGTAAGAGAGGGGAAGGGGAAAGTGGCTTTGGAGCGGGGAGTCTAACCTGGTGGTAGATGGTTTCCAGGGCTACCTCTCACTTCCCAGGGGGAGCTCGGGGTTCATCCAGCAGTCAGAAGTAGCTCTTCTGATCCCCTCCACTGGTCTCCCACTCCATGTGCATTTGCTTTTTGGAGTGAAATTCAAATTTCCCCCATTCATCTGAGACAGGGGTGTGACTGAAGCTCTGCATTAGGAAGCAGCAAGTGGCTTCTTACACCAGATACGGACACCGAGCTCCGGGGAGAGGGGCAGGAGCGCAGGCTGGCACACGCGTGGGGTGTTTCCAGCAGAGCTGAGTGCAGCTAGCTTGGCAGACAGTTACTAAATAGTCGTAGAGCAGGTTCTTAAGGAAGCGCCTGCTTTTCCTGAGGAGGAACATCTCCAGTCAGCCACCAGTAGCCAGGGCGAGGCACCTCCTGGGCCAGAGGGACTGTTAGCTGGATGCTTGGCGGGAGCTCCTCAAAGAATCCTCCAGGAAGCCATATGTGCCAGGATTTGTAGAACAACATCATAACACTTTTACAGCCTGGATGTGGCCACTATCTGCTGATGACAGTTATGTGCGTATTGTGTGGCACTGTCCCTGGAAGGGACAGTGCACATGCAAATTAGCATCACCGTCCACCAACTACCACACTCAGCCCAGGCGCAAAGTGGGCACACGAGAAACAAGAGCACTGTCGGGGCTGGGGATGTGGCTCAAGCGGTAGTGCGCTCGCCTGGCATGCATGCGACCTGGGTTCAATCCTCAGCACCACATACAAACAAAGATGTTGTGTCCGCTGAAAACTAAAAAATAAATATAAAAAAAAAAAAGAGAGAGCACTGTGGAAATGACAGGGAAAACTGCCTTGCTGTGTTCCAGCTGCCGTCAACACTGGACCCACCAAGAGCCCTGGAGCAAGGCTTGCGAGATGGGGACACGTCTGGGGAGCTCCCAACCATCCGAGAAGTCTGGGCTCCACCAGAAGGTGGGGAAGCAAGGTCTCACTCAGCAAGTGGCTGAAACAAACACTTGATGCATCAAGAGGTGAGGCTCACCTACCCCATTCTCCCCAGGCCTGAGGCCGGGCGCATGGAGCACACACGCCAGCCTTGGACAGATCCGAATTTCCAGGTGGCATATGCCACTGCTCTGAAGCTCCCCACCCTGAGGGCTAGAGCCAAGCCCAGTAACTGGTGATCAGAGGAAAGACAGCAGAGGGGAAGGGAGGAAGGGGAGGCACCCACCTGCTGCCATGCTGAAAGGGCCCCAGTGGGTACAGGGCAGGGTTGTGGGCTCCCAGGCTGTGGAATGCCTCCATGACCTCCTGCAACGAGGGGTACCACAAGCGCATGTCTTCATCTGTCAGGACAAAGGAGGGCAGAGAGTCGGCTCAGAGAGAGGAGGGAAAGGCCCACTCCTCTCTCCAGAAGGCTGCCACAGGGATGTCTGGCGCAAGGCAGCCCCTTCCTGCTTCCTCTGGCATCACAGGTGTTATCATCAGACAGGAAGCAATGAATGGTTTCCGGACACTTGCTGGAGCTCTGTGAGCCTGTGCATGCTTTATCAGTCTTCAAGGTATGGCTACAGACAGGTGCAAGGGCTGAGGTGACAGTGCCCTGAGCATCCATGCTAGGCAGCCATTGGGTGCTTAGCTGCTCACAGCTAAGTGACACAAGGAGTCCTGAACCAAAGGCTCCGAACCTTAAGCTTTAGAGGACACTAGCCTCTAGTCAGGTATGGCGGCATCTGCCTGTGATCCTAGCCACGGGGGAGCCTGAGGCAGGAGAATTGTTGAGTTTAAAAAACAAAAAGAAAGAAAAGGCAATGCTAGCTGCAGTAAGCCCCGGCCCTCTGCCACCAGGGATACAGCCTGCTGTGGCCTGTCACTGCCCTCACTGTCACATCTGGGTGCTCCCTGGGCCTCTGCCTGCCAGCAGCATGCCTTGCTGCCCTGTCTTCTGGGCAACAGTGGCCCACGGGTACAGTCTCTCCGCACCAATTTAACAAGACACGCAGGACAATCTGCCCAAATCAACACAGATGGAAAGTTGTGTGTACACAGCGCCTTTTCTCCTGTCAGACCATTTAAGGGCACTGTCACGGCCAAGGGAGTAGAAAAATAACAAACAATGTGGTCAAGCATATCTTCCAAAGATGGCCACGTCGAGGTGGCCCATCTCGCACCACGGCTCCCCCCGCCCCCCTCACCAGGAGGCAGCGTCCACAGCTCCACCCTGCCGGCCACTCCTTCATGTCGTCTTACTCATCAATTCCCTGGCTTCTTGCCGGCCTCTCACCACTTGAATGCAAATTCTAGGAAGGCAGAGGCCACGTCTGTGTTGGTCATCTCCATGTGCCCAGGGCCCAGAGCAGTGGCCAGGGCACAGGGGAAGCTGAATAAATGAATGAGTGAACAGATGACAGGGATCCCAAACAAAGCACAACCTAGTTCTTCACAACTAAGAGGGGAGCTGTAGGCAGTCACAGGATGAGCTAGCAGTGTCGAGGACATAGATGTTGACAAATGTTACACTTAACAATGGACAAGGCCATTGTCAAGACCCTGGCAGGCTGGGCTCAGAGCCATGAGTAGTGCTCTGTCAAACCACAGCCGTTTCTGGAGGGTGAGAGTTTGGGAGAGTTCTGCCTTCAGGGCCCACTGTGTGCAGAAACTAGCCAGGTGTGAAGGGTCAACAGGGGCCCAGGGGAGACCCTGACTTCGGACAGCTCACAGCGCAGGAGGGAGAGGAGCCAGCTAGGTGAATGAGCACGAGTGAGAGTATCTGCAACCAAGGCAGGAGAAGGTTACAGAATGTGCTCAGAGGAGGGGGACCTGATTTTTGGTGGACAGCAGGAACAAACAAGGCACCTGTCACAAGAGAGGGGAAGGACATTCCAGCAGTGGGACAGACTTGATGAAGGCAGAGTAGCATAAAAGAGTGGCGGGGCAAGACCAGAGACAAGCACCAGGCACAGAGCAGGGCAGGCCAGGCAGGGCCAGGGCTTCTGCAAGGACGACCGCCAAAAGAAAGCTTCCTCCACTCGGGGGTACAGCGAGCCCTGCCTGCTGTAGTCTGGCAGACAGCAGAATGCAGGCCCAGGGGCTCTGAGAACAGTCTAAGGACATTTCTTTTTTTTCTTTTTAATTTTAATATTTATTTATTTAGTTAGTTTTCAGCAGACACAAAATCTTTGTATGTGGTGCTGAGGGTTGAACCTGGGCCGCACACATGCCAGGCGAGCTCGCTACCGCTTGAGCCACATCCCCAGCCCTAAGGACATTTCTTCAACAGACATGGAGTGCCTCTTTGGAAATGTATATGGGTCAGGACTCACCAACAAGCAATCAGACTCTCGGCAGAGAAAGAACTTTCTCATTTGTTTTTTCCCTTTCGTGACAATACCTCTGGCCTGCTGCACAAATGAGCCGGGAAGAAGGAGGTGTGCAGGGCACAGGGAGACCATTACCAGAGCCTCTGGGACTCACGTAGGTGTGTGCACACACTCGGGTGGAAGACGGACACACATCACCCCCAGGGGAGGCCTCTCTGGGCACACCTCCTCCCACACAGGTGTGTGGCTGCTGCAAAGCCCCGTGAAGGGCGTAGCACCCACCTACCAGAGCCAGACTCGGAGCCTGGCACTGTCCCCCTCCCCTCTCCCCCACCCAGTGATCACTCTGCACTGTAGAGGACCCTGGCCGACGTGGGGCAGTTTCAGAGGAGGTTGCCCAGATGCCCTGGGATAAATCAGTCCCCGTCAACAGCCCTGGATGTTGGTAACATGATGACAGGAAAATCCCACCCCAGAGCCCATAATTAACGCTGTCTGTAAGTAGGCCATGCACTCAGCTTTTCCTCAGCACTGTTTGTCCCAAATGAGAAATTTCTGGAGAGCTGACACAGAAGGAAACCCAGACGTGAAGTGGCCAGGCCCCGCCCCCTCACTCAGTTTCTCCCACACAGCTCTTCTGGAGGAGCGCTGGGCCAGTGCCTGGGCGCAGGGCCTTTTAAAATGCCAGCGTAGGCAGCCCCTGGCAGCTGGGCTCTGTCCAGAGGCCAAGACTGAAAGCAGCCTTTAGGTGCCTCTCCTGGGATGGAAGTGATGTTCTGCTGGGTAAAGAAAGCACCAGGTGGGCTGGGGATGTGGCTCAAGAGGTAGCGCGCTCGCCTGGCATGCGTGCGGCCCGGGTTCGATCCTCAGCACCACACACAGAGATGTTGTGTCCGCCGATAACTAAGAAATAAATATGAAAATTCTCTCTCTTAAAAAAAATATTAAAAAAAAAGAGAAAGCACCAGGCCTAAAATAAAAGCCACCTTTTCATCTGGGTTGGGCAGGAAGCTACCTGACCACTGCTCCAGGCACGGTGGTGCGGAAGGGCAAATCCACACTCATCCCAAGAACCTGCGCTGGCCCCAGGGCTCCAGGCCTGGCTCCCTGCTCCCCTCCCTGTGCTCCCCTCCTTGTGCTCAGCTGGGGCTCCCGCAGGTGTGTGGCTAGTAGGCAGGTCCGAGGCTGCAGGCCTCTGGTCTTATCCTTCTTGAGCCACCCCCAGGGGACACAGCTAGAAGTGTAGGGCTGGCTGCATTAGAGGGCCACGAGGTGCTACCTGCAGGGTCCTGAGTCTCTGTGGCCACCCCTGACAGAAGGAGGGAAGGTTTCCATCACTTTTTCATTTTTTTTGCAGTGCTGGGGACTGAACCCAGGGTTTGCCATGTGAGGCAAGTGCTCTACCACTGAGCTACGACCCTGGTCCCCCATTGGCCTTATGCGGGGAAGGGGCTGGTTCCTGGAGGAAACGGGGCTGGCCTCCAGACTGAGTCCTGATCCTCCAGGGGTGGGGGGCTCATAGCAGTCACTGGAGGCCTGAACTGTATTTTGTATCGCAACTTGATTCCTGAACTTCCCTTTGTACTTAAATTGACACTTGGTCAGTGAGCTTTAGTTTCATTTAAAATGTTTATTGGGGGGCAGGGGCTGGGGCTGTAGCTCAGTGGTAGAGCGCTTGCCTAGCAAGTGTGAGGCACTGGTTTCGATTCTCAGCACCACATAGAAATAAATAAAGGACCATTGACAACTAAAAGAAATATTAAAAAAAAATAAAATAAAATGTTTATTCATTCCCAAATGGGAACTGAACTCGGGAGCTGTTCTAGTCCTTCTGGGACCCAGCAGAGAGCAGAGGTGACAGGGTCAGTGAGGGACACACCACACACGTACATCTCAGGCACATTCTGGCCAAGATGGCCCGGGGGCAGGGGGACACTGGAGCAGGCCTCCCTAGGGATGCGGGTGACAAGGCTGTAGACAGGAAAAAGAGCCTCACAGACCAGACGGAGGCCAGGGGTTGCATGCAGGAGCCCAGGGGGCGGACTGGGGAGGTGGAGGCGGGCCGAGGGGGACAGGCAAAGGTGAAGGGCAAAGGGAAGCAGAAGGTCTGAGGATCTATGTCCTCAGTGAGAAGGCAGACCTGCACCAAGCCCTTTGTAATTTAGTCGTGTGTGTGCCATGCTAGGGATGGAACCAGGGCCTCACCCGAGCTGCGGGTGCTCTGTCGACGAGCTTCACCCCAGCCCTCGAGTCTGTTTGTTTTTTGATTTGGTTCCACGGATTGACTCAGGGGTGCTTGATCGCTGAGCCACATCCCCATCTTTTAAAAATTTTATTTAGAAACAAGATCTTGCTTAGGGCCTCACTAAATTGCAGAGGCTGGCTTTGAACTCTCAATCCTCCTGCCTCAGCCTCCTGAACTGCTGAACTACAGGTGCATGCCACCACACCTGGTTTCAACTCTGGGTTCTCCCCGCCTCCCCACTATTTGTTGTAGCCATTTTCAGGTACCTTAATGACCTTAATGACTTCAGTGTCCTTACGACTCGTTACATGGCCTCACTATTGCCAGCTTTTTCTAAAATTTCTGCAGAAACACTTGCAGGTAAGCAGATTCACCACCTGGCTAGCGAGTCTGGGTTTTAAAGCCATATGCATTCCACCACCTGACCTTCAGTGTCAGGGCAGCACAGGGCGCCGCGTCCTTCCCGACACCAAGCCGGTTCTTCCAGGGGGATGCTTATGAATCCTGAACTGGTCCCCGTTCTTGGTCTCTCCCCTCCTTTTCAAGCCCCAAACCTACATTCTTTCAGAATGTTCTGTTTCCTCTCTGTCCTACCACTAGCTCCGCAGGGTCTTGATTTCCCCTAGTCTTCCCACTCACCCTGAGCCTCAGGCCCTCCCTTTGTGCCCTGCTCTGCTGTTACCCACCCTACACTCCACCCCCAACCTGGAGGCCCTGGCCTGTCTGTTCCTGAGACAGTGTACCAGGGGAGGCCACCTCTCCTCTCTCCTGGCCTCTGTAACTCACACCACTGCTGGTGTCAGATGACACCGTAAGTCTTGGAGGCCCCAGTGTGCAGGATAGAGATGCACTGCACCGACCGGCCCAACTCACACCTGCTGGAATTAGGTTAGGCTACACAGAGCCAAAGAACAAAATAAAAAGCAAAACCCACTGGGGTTTAAAGAGACTAGGATTTTATGTCTTTGTGATTAAAAAAGAGGCCTGCAGTGGGGTAGACCACACTTGGTGCAGGAACAGGACTGCGCCTGCAGGATCTTGGTGCTCATCTCTCTGCTCTGCCATCTTGGCATGTGCCTCCTGTGCTCCAGGTCATCCCATGGTCCAGGATGGCTACTGGAGGCCCAGCTATCACATCTCAACTCCAGGCAACACTTTTCCACTTTGCCACCTAAAGTATGCATTCCTGGATTATTTATATGGATGCAAGGCCCCTCTGTGTGACCTGGGACTTAGTACCAAACCACCTTCCCAAGTTCAGAAAGCAAGAATTTGAGACAGATTTAGACACAACCAAAGAGTTTGCCAGCAGTTTCCTGAATGGACAGTCGACTCCAGTTCTCTCACTGTGCATTTGTGAGCCTTAGATTTTTGGACTATAACTCATCTCTGGAATAAAATGAAACAGAAAACACCAAATGCAGGCAAGGATGGAAAGCGATGAAAGTTTTCTTTCATCGCTGGTGGAAATGTCCACTGGTCCATCCACTTTGCAGACAGCCTGGCAGCTTCTCAGAAAGCTAAACACGCTCTTACCATAAACCCTGGCAACTGCACCTGAAAACTTAGGTCCATAAAAAATCTGCACGAGATTTTCTTTTCAGGGGTTGGGGAGTGCTGGGGATTGAACCCAAGGGTGCTTAACCACTGAGCCACATCTCCAGTCCTTTGTTATTTTGAGACAGGGTCTCACTCAGTTGCTAAGGGCCTCACTAAATTGCTGAGGCTGGCTTTGAACTTGCAATCCTCCTGGCTTTAGCCTCCTGAGTTGCTGGGAATGACAGGTGTATGCCACCTTGCCCAGCTGCACATGAATGTTTATAGCAATTTTATTTGTAATGATCAAAAATTGGAAGTAACCAGGATGACTTCCAATAGTAAACAAACTATGGCATCAGATATTATTCAGCAATAATAAAGAAATGAGAGCCGGGTACAGTGATGCACACCTGTAATCCCAGCTACTCAGGAGGCTGAGGGAAGGAGAATCTCAAGAGTTCAAGCCCAGCCTCAACAACTCAGTAAGACTCTATCTCAAAATATATTTTAAAAAGGGCTGGGGATGCAGCTCGGTGTAGAGTGACCCTGGATTCAGTCCCAGGACCAAAAACAGAAAAAGGAAAAAGGAAATAAGCTATGAAGACACAGAAAGCCAAGGAGGGACTTGAAATGCTCTTACTGAGTGAAAGAAGCTGCTTGAGAAGCTACACACTGCACAGTTCCAACAGTGGGACATTCCAGAAAAGAGAACCATGCAGAAACTTAAAAAACGCTGTGGCTGCCAAGGACTGGGTGGGGGTATAGATAAGATGCGTGGGGAGAACCCAAGGACACTTTTAGGGTAATGAAACTTCTGTATGATACAGGAATGAGGGGCACGTGTCAGGACATCTGTTAAAACCCACAAAACTGCACAACCTAATTTAAGCCACAGATTTTAGTTAATAGTGACATTAATATTGTTTCATCAATGATAACAAATATTCACACTAACATAAGATGCTGACAACAGGGGACACTGTGGGTGGGGGCAGAGGGGGTCATGAGAACTCTATGTACTATCTTTCGAGAAAGCTGAAAACTATTCTCGAAAAATAAAGGCTGCTGCCAGGTGCGGTGGTGCCTGCCTGTAATCCCAGCGGCTAGGGAGGCTGAGGCAGGAGGATCATGAGTTCAAGGCCAGACTCAACAACTTAGGGAGGTCCTAAGCAACTCAGTGAGATCCTGTTTTAAAATATAAAAAGGGCTGGGGATGAAGCTCAGTGGTGGGGCACCTGCCTGGCATGCAGAGGCCTGCAAAGCGACAGAAGAGGCCGCTCCACACAGTGCCTTGGAGGAGGAGTGGACGATGGCAGGGCAAGGAACAGTGGCCTTCGTGCTCTTGTGCTCAGGAATCAAGGACCCAGCTGAGAACCAGCATGTTCTGGGATCACCTGGGGAGCAGACATGACCGCTATCTGTGCGCCACTCCCAGCCTGGCTTGATTACGTGTGGCCTAGGTTTTGGAATTAAAAAAAAATTCCCAAGTGATTCAAATACCACAGCCAAGCTCAGGTCCCGCTGAGCTAAGGAAAGCTGTGGTCCTCCCTCTGGAACAACACGCAGGACATGCTCAAGTGGTCTGGCAGGTGATGAGTCTGGTGGGGTGGGCGTCAATTCATGGAGCTGACCTCAGCACCCTCCCACGCCCAGAGCTCCAGGCTTTGCACCTGAGACCAACTGTCCATGGCCCGGGAGCCCAGGGGTTCCAAGTCCCAGCTGCTCATCAGTGTCACCTGGGGAGGTTTTAAAACCCAGCCAGGCTGCGCCTTGGAACCATCTCAGAGGACAGGACCTGGCATCAGTACTTTGTAAAGCTCAGCCACAGTTAAAAATTGCCATGGCTGGAAGCTGAGTCCTGGAGGATCTACCAGTACCCTCTCTTTGGGGTCTAAAGGTCATATCAGAAGCACTCTCTAGCTGGGTGCAGTGGCGCACGCCTGTAACTCCAGTGGCTCTAGAGGCTGAGGCAGGAGGATGGCAAGTTCAAAGCCAGCCTCAGCAACAGCAAGGTGCTAAGCAACTCAGTGAGATCCTGTCTCTAAATAAAATACAACATAGGGATGTGGCTTTGTAGCCGAGTGCCCCTAGGTTCAATTTCTGGTATATTCTCCCCCCCAAAAAATGAAGTGCTCTCCAGATGGGCACGGTGATGCACACCTGTGATCCAGGGATTAGGGAGGCTGAGGCAGAGGGACTGCAAGTTGGAGGAGAGCCTCAGCAACTTAGTGGGGGCCATAAGCAAATTAGGGAGACCCTGTCTCAAAACAAAACATGAAAAGGGTCTGAGGATGTAGCTCAGTGGTGAAGTCCCCGAGGTCAATTCCCAGTACCAAAATAAAATGAAAAGTTCAAGTCACATGAATTTGCTGAGGCTGGCTTTGAACTTGTGCTCCTCCTGAGTCACTGGGATTATAGGCCTGTGCCACCAGGGCTCTCCCTCTCATTTCAAAAGGTGTGTTGAGAGTCTTGAGCGAAAGAGATGAAATAAGCGCCTGTTATTGCCTGTCACTCTCACACCCCCGTGAGAGGTCTGTGCCCTGGGCCAGACTCATACCCTGCAGCTCTTCTCAGCCCTAGGTGGGCATCAGGAGCACTTATGAGTTTTCTAGAACTCCTGGTGCTGGGAGTTGAATGCTCCACAGGCACTGAGCTGGGGTAAAGCAGGAGTGACTGCCCCATAGACCAGCAGGCTCACACCCTGCCCTGGGAAGACCAGACTGCACATCCAAGCTTGGCCAGCACCACAGTTCCTCTCCGACGATCCACACAGGACAGGAGCAGCTGATGTCTGCTGCAGGCAAACACAGGCTCTGTCCCTCACTCCTTCAAACAATGACTGCCAAGTCCTGAAGTGCACCTGCCTCACATCACTGCCAGGAACCCAACAGAAGGTCAGAACTCCAAACCCCACAGAGACATGCTCCCTGCCCTGGAGCCCACAGTCCCAGGGAGAGGCAACTTCAATCATAGGATGCACATATCAACTGCAACTTGGGCCACAGAGGGCAGAAGGTGGAATCTGAGAGTAGAAGAAAGAGGAAGGGATGGAGTTAAGAAGGCAAAAGACAAGTTGCTGCTGTGGGGAGGGAAGAGAGCTTCATAGGTAGAGGAGTCCTTTAGTATGTACATGCCAGGCCCTGAGGCAGGAGGAATGAGCACAGAGGCAGTGAGGCTGAGCACAGTCAGTGAGAGAAAGTGTGGGATCTGATGAGCTGGACAGGTGGCGTGGAGCTCGTGAGCATTTCTTCTGCTTTCCAGGCCCTGATTATCTGTAAAATGGGGTCACAATTGTATCTACTTGTTGGAAAAAGATCAAATTAAACTCTCTTGAATGTTAGCTATTATTTTGCATTAAGTCATTTTTAATATCATATCTGACAATAATGTTTTAAAAACAAAGATCAATGATGAAGTGAGTTACTGTGATCACTGAATTCTAATTTCACACTTTGAAAGGGCCAGGCCATGTGAATGACAGTGCCCAGGGAGCCCAGCCAAGGGGTCTCCTGGGTGGTCCTCCAAGTGGTTTCCTACCCATTTGGGTCTACACGACATTCTCATGGTAGCAACAGGGGATTAGGAGCGTAGACCTGGATCCCAACCAGCCTCTCTGGGCCTGGACCATGGAACTGGCCCTGGCCTGTGTGTGAATGGAGCGTTCACATAAGTGCTCCATGTGTGGGTCGCCCTCACTCCACCACCAGGGAGGTGCCATCTGCTAAGGAGGGTGTCAAGCAGCCCCAGGGGCAGCTGTCCACATGTGGGGCCTCCACCCAGGAGCCTCTCTGAATGGCACACTTCCTGCTACCTCTGCGGGAGGCTTCCCTGACCACGTGAGCCAG